ATAGTAATATCTCGGCCCATCCGAAACTCCCAACTGTTTTGGTAATTTCAAACTCCCGATTGTCTTTAGAAGACTCCACCGTAAAAACCGATCGAAAAAGCTAAGACAGTAATAGCACTTTCTGTAGCCCTTCAACTAGTAAGTTTCCTGTGTTTTCTCTTACTTCGAATGTACCCATAAAACTTCTTGGGGCACATAATGGAGTATGTTGTCAGTCAGCGCCCGAAAGAAGTTCTAATAACGCGCATTTGTTAGCGACATTTACAACGTTGCTCCTTGTATTCCGCGTATGTTATAGGATACTGAATTTACAAGCACTTTTCCACAGCCTCTGTTTCTTCTTCATGATCTATTTTGTCATCGGCGGTCGATTTCATAGGGACGAGTACTGCGGGAAGGCTTATCTTTAGGTCGTCAAAGTCCGTTTGGCACTCTCCGGTCCAAACGGGTGGCTATCATCTCTCCGTGAGTCAATGCATGTTTTGTGCTATCTCCGCGAAATAACGTATGAACCCATTGTAGTGGGATGCTAGATCCACATTTTCTTCGACACCTAAACGCTTCTGCACCGCTGCTAAAATGAACACAACTGGTTTCGGCTGTATGCCCATTGTGCACCCAAGTAAACACCATGTATACTGCTACAAATAACCTACAATCAACACGAAACCAATCATATCCATGTTGTCGTTCCATGTCCCACAAACGGCCCTTTCAAACTTTGTGCTAGCACCATCGTACCTATGGTCCGAAAGCACGCAAGTGCATTCCACCCAGCACAGTGCAGCAGGCGTCATGGCAGGAAAACGACCACGCCATCCATTCATGGATTGGTCGAGCGGTCTCCATTTTCTTATCGATACCGGCGTCGAGACCAGCGCCATCCTGCTTCCCAAGCGTCACCACCCCAAGCCTTCGCAATTGTCAGTACGGGCTGCCAACAACACCAAAATCTACGGATAATACTCACTCACTCTCGACATCGGTCTCCGGTGGCGTTTATGGCGTGTCTTTTTCCAAGCCGACGTTCCATCGCCCATTATCGGGCAGATTTCTTGTCACATTTCGGCTTCAAAGTCAATTTAAATAACCGAAAGCTGATCGATACCACAAATAAGCTCTTTACCGTCTGTACTGTCACTTCCGAACCTTCGGTCGTCATGCACTTGGTCATTCCAAGTTCGCCCTTTGCTGGGATTCCGAAGGACTATTCATCCATCATTAAACCATGTCAATCCACAGAAGAAATTCGGCACACGGTCAGACAATACATAGACACTACCGGGCAACCCGTACATATTCAACAGTGAGGATTTAATCCCGAAGAACTCAGGATAGCGAGAAACAAACTCGAACATATGATGAATTTGGGGACTCTCCGCCCTTCTTCCAGCTCATGGGCATCTCCACTCCATATGGTCCGTAATATGACAGACTTAAACCGGCCTATCTTGAGTGTATTCTGCCGCCCGTTGTGCAATCCAATTCCCTTGCACCGTTCTCACCCATTTCACCTGTTTCGGTCCCCTCCACTGAAGCATTACGTTCGACAACCCCACCTACCAATCTTAAGTTTCCTTCTACTTCAACACGTAGTTCATCTCGTTTTGGTATACTTATCCACTTTATTCCCCACCGGTTGGTTGAAGGATGGAACAAGTTGCCGAACTCCGTTATCATGGTGGAGGACGCTGAGACCTTCCAAAAGGACTTGCTAAATGCATGCTTGAGGGTCAAATATTTACTCGATATCAATGACTGGCATAATTTTCATGTAAGTATGTTCATTCTTTTCATCCGTCTATCTGTGAATAGGGTTTTCCAAGGTTCTGTCTTTATCCCTTATGCATACTGAATTATTGCGAAACTCAAAGACTTTGTGGAGAAACTTTTCGCATTTTAATCGAGTGTTTCTTGTTCAACAAACGCCCTAGCGGAGGAATTGTGTACAGTTTCGATTTTTTCACTTAAAACTTTTCTGTACACGTGAACTTTTCGAACTGTCATTTAAATATATTAAAGTATAAACAACTAGTTTAGGCTTGCGCAGACGCGGGAATTGTGCCCGTCCGGTGCATGGTGTCATTGTTTTATCGATTGCGCTCATGTGTCGTAACTCTTTTTAGTCAATTATAAAGATGCTTTTTTATTTCTCGGTCGTATCTGGCCGGGGTGAATTTACCCGAGCAACAATCTCTAATAACTGTCTTTGGCAGCGATAGGCTGAGGCCCCCAAGTATCAGCGACTAGCTACAGACACCTGTCTTATGGGAACGGTGGTTTTAAAGGTTATACGGGCGGGGCATATCACTGGAAGGTAAAATGCAAAAAATAAGGAAAGCATGTGAGGTATTTGGTTTTGTGTAGTGAAACTTTTAGTACGCCGGTATATAGCAACGAAGACGAAGCGCGACAATTTAAAAAAAACTTACTGTGACGACCTACGGGGGACTGAGTATTAGTGCCTCAGTGATCGGCATGCAGACGCCACACATTAAACAGTAGAAGGATATAGTCTGAATGGGATACTATTATAATAACGGGTTAGATAATAAAGGGGTACAGAAGCGGGGGGAGAAAACGGATAAGAGTAGTCTAAATCCTAACAATGAGATTGCGAAAGGGGGGAACGCAGCCGGCTGCATAAACAAGGGGAGACATTAGACAAATTGGTCATTAGCGGGACCCTGGTGATTGTTCTGGTTGTTTGTGGGCGTTGAACGCGGCCCTGAAAAAGGAAATAAAAGTATTGAGTAGCAAAAAGGTACCGTTGACTGGGTAGGTTCGTGACACTGCCCCCCATCAGGATTGAGCGCTGTCCTTAGCGCGAGTTGTACGAAGAATGACGTTGCGGGGTGATGGTGGAGTGTAAAGGGTGGTGAGGGATGTGGTCGGTTGGGAGGTCGAAGGAATGGGGTGTTGGGGGGACTGATACTCTGATAAACATGGTTTGAGCCGATTGAAATGCACCTGGATAATCCGGCCGAAGGGATCAGATTTTAGGCGAATGCGGTAGACGGAATTAGAGAGCGGTCGAAGGACGATATAGGGCCCAGACCACTGACGATGAAACTTACTGGCGTACCCTGCGGGGGGTTGGTCGTTGTGCAACCAAACACGGTCGCCGGGTTCGTATTGAGTTCCGTGTGCCAGATGGTCGTAATAATCCTTCTGGTGGGAGTGTGCAGCCTGAAGCTTCGTTCTGGCTGTGGTGTGAATGGTTTGTAGGGAGTCAATGAGCTGCTCGAGATACCGGTGTGGTTGTGCCATTTCCGGGGTGCCGTGTGGGATAGTTACGTCAGACGGGAGGCGCAGGTCGCGTCCGAAAAGCATCATGTGGGGGCTGAATGAAGTGGAGGAGTGAATGGTGGCGCGGTAGGCCAAAAGGCATCGGGGAAGAAGGTCGTCCCAGGAATCTGCGCGGGACTGATCAACCATGCTGCGGAGGAACGCCACGAGAGTCTTGTTCGTGCGTTCTGTCTGACCGTTTCCGGCTGGGTGGAAAGGTGAGGAGCGCGTTTTGACTATGCCGAGGAGGTGACATAGGGCACGGAATAGGTAGTTTTCGAAGGCGGTTCCTTGATCCGTGTGGATGATGTAGGGGGACCCATAGCGAGCGATCCAGTGATCGACTAGAGCCGCTGTTACAGTTCAACTTTCCGAGTTTGGGAGTGGGATGGCTTCGCACCATTTCGTGAAATAGTCGACGATAACCAAAATGAAGCGATTGCCTTTCTTAGTCTGAAATAAAGGTCCAATGATGTCTAAACCGATGCGGTGGTTGGGGAAGCCTGCCGACATTGGTTCCAGTGGCGCCCGGGGACGGACTACAGGGTCCTTGATTTGAGCGCAAGTTTGACACGTCTGACAGACAGAAACTACGTCGCGTCACTGATCGGGCCGCCAATATCGTTGACGAACTGCGGCGAGGGTCTTGGCTTGGCCGCAATGTGCCAGTTCTTCATGGGTAGCACGGATGACTTGGGGCCTAAGAGTGCTAGGGACCACTAGACGGTTGGGAAGAGAGGGGTGATGCTGGAAGAACAAGATGTTGTCGATTAGACGGAGGATGGGCCACATAGACCAGAGACAATGGGCCTCCCAGCTGAGACTCTCCATTTCGCGGGCGGTGGGTTTAGGGTATCCATGTAACTGGCGGTCATAGATACATTGGGATCGGACGCTTGCATTTGAGCCCATTTTTCCTGGGCTGCCTGTGATATTTGGATAGCTGCCACAGGAAAGGCGTCGTTCGGTGTCCTCGTCGGGGAGAGTGGTGGACGGGAGAGAGTGTCGGCGTTATTGTGACGTTCCCCAGGGCGATATTGAACTTCAAAGTCAAATTCTTCAAGTAGCTCCCGCCATCTGGCGACTTGTCCTTCTGCATCCTTAAAATTCCGGAGCCATTTGAGGGCTTGGTGGTCGGTGCGGACGATGAAGAGTTTAGCGAGCAGCAAGTGTCTGAATTTCTTGACAAAGGTGACAAGGGCTAGCATTTCCCGCCGTGTGGCAATGTAATGCCTTTGCACCTTGTTTAAACATTGACTGGCGTACGCTATTACGTGCTCATGTCCATCCGCAGCGATCTGACTGAGGACTGCGCCAATAGCAAATCCGCTGGCGTCAGTATCGAGGAAGAAGGGTGGGCTTTGCACATCACCATCTGGGAGCGCAAGGATGGGGGCGGAAGTAAGAGCGTTTTTAAGGGTTAAGAAGGCTTGTGTACATTCTGCCGTCCACACAAAAGAACGACCCTTTTCCGTTAAGCGATGTAGCGGAAGGGCGATATTCGCGAAACCGTAAATGAAACGACGGTAATAGGAAGCCAATCCCAAGAACGACCGTACATCCGTTTGTGATTGTGGTGTCGGCCAGTCGAGTACCTGCCGAATTTTCTCCGGATCAGGGGTGATGCCAGGTTCGTCTACTACGTGTCCAAGGTAGGTCACTTGTCGTTGCAAGAAATGGCACTTCTTGGGGTTAATCGTAATTCCTGCTGCCTGTAACTCTTGGAGTACTAGGCTCAAGTTTTGGAGGAGGTGGCTGACGGACTTGCCGTGGATAATAATGTCATCCAAATAGACGAGACAGGACTGTGGTAATAGGTTTCTCAGGACGAACTGCATCAACCTTTGACACGTGGCTGTGGCATTCGCAAGACCCATGGGCAGAGTGTTAAATTGGTAGAGCCCGGTGGGGAGGATGAACGCCGTCTTGTGACGGTGCTCCGGTCGGACCTCTATCTGCCAGTAACTATGAGAAAGTTCGAGGCTGACGAACCAAGTCGCACCGACTAATGCGTCGATAGTGTCATCAATACGCGGGATCGGAAACGAGTCGCGCACGGTGACTTTGTTCAACTGGCGATAGTCGATGCATAGCCGTAGGTGTCCGTCCTTTTTCTTACCAAGCGTAACCGGGGCAGCCCATGGGGAGTTGGAGGGTTCAATGACACCCTGCGCAAGGAGGTCTGAAATTATGCTGTTAAGCTCCATTTGGTAATGGATGGGTATTCGGCGAGCGAGTTGCCTTTGTGGTGCGGTGGTACCAGTGTTTATGGCATGCTGAACCAGTCCAGTGCGCCCGATCGGTTGTCCAGCCCAGGTGAACACGCTCTGGAATGGGAGAAGGGTGTCCTTTAGGCGACGGAGGTAGGTGACGGGGATTTCTTGACGGGTGAACAGATCGTAAATGGACGTCGGTTCATTTGGTGCGGTAGTGTCTAGCGTACTGACATCCGCGGAGATGTTGGAGATGGCTGATCTGGAAAGCAGAACTGCGGCCGGGTTGTTGGGGTCGATAATAAGCTGGTGAGCGCGGAGAAAGTCTAACCCGACAATGGCGTCAACTCTAATGTCCGGGGAGACTAGCATGGGATGTACGGCAGTGCAGATGGGGAGGACAATGGATACTTGCCGTGTGCCAGTGCAACGCAGGGGTGAACCATCAGCTGTGACTAACTGAATGTCTGAAGGGGGGGGAGTGTGTAATGGGAACATGGGGAGACCGCAACACAGACCGGATGGCGCTAGTGTCAATAAGTATGGTGGCGGGGGTTCCATCAAGTGTGCCAGTGACTGTCAGCGGGAGATCTGTGGGTAGCGAGGAGGAAATAGAGGGCAAGATAGTAGGAGGAGTCTTGCCGGCAGGATTGTTGTGACCGCACTTGCGAGCACGATCCTTGAACTGCTGGCAGTACCAGCAGTCGTTCGTGTTGTTGGTCGCACGAGAGAAAGGGGACTTCGATCGGGTACTCTGAGTTGCCCCTGGGGACTGCTGGGATCACGGCGAGGTTCTTGTTGTGGTGGGGCGGACTCGAATATCCTTGTTGTTTGTAGGGCTGTGAGGAGGTTTGCAGGGGGTCGGATGCGAAACTCCCGTTTGATGTCTGCTGAACGGAGACTGTCCACGAATCGTAAGAAGATCTGGTCGAAGACTTGGGAGTCTGGGAAGACCCTGCTACCGAGACTGAAGAGGGCGTCTAGGTAGGAGTCCTCATTTTCCCCGGGCAGTTGTGTGCGGAGGCAAAATTGGTTATGGAGAGCGATGAGGGGTTCCTGGGCACCGAAAAGGCTTTCCAGCGTCGCCCATAGGTTGCTGATGGTTGTAGGGGGTGATACGCACAGATAATTGAGGCGTCTTTTGGCGGTTGGACCCAATAGGCCCATAAGATGGTCCATTCGTTGGTCGGCCGGTAAATGTACCAGGTAGCGTTCGGCCTGTACTCGCCAGTCCAAGAAGCTGTCGCCGACCTCGTATATTGGGGGTCTGAGGGAATCCAGGGCCACTGGGGATGTGCGTGTGAGGAGATTGCCTAAGGCGGCGGTTAGTTGGCCGATGCTAGAGGAGTGGGCATCGGAGGTGGATCGAGTATTCGGCATGGTGGGGGGTGCGGTCTAGTTGGTACGGACGTATAGAAAGATGCGGATGAAATGTAGTACCGAACGGGAATAATGAAGTCCGAAAAAAAGGTGCGGTAGAAAAGAAAAAAAAGGTGGGAGAAAAATCAAGAAACGCTGCCACCAAATATGGGACGACCTACGGGGGACTGAGTATTAGTGCCTCAGTGATCGGC